TGATGGAGTGGCCGGAGCCAAAAAACCTGAAGCAGGTCCAGTCGTTCCTCGGGTTCACGAACTTTTACAGAAGGTTCATCCGGGGTTACGCGGACGTTGCGCGGCCGCTCACACGGCTGACAGGGAAGGAGGGCTTCCACTGGGGAGAGGAGCAGGTGATCGCGTTCCAGAAGCTTAAGGATCGGATCGTGGAGGACGCCGTGTTGGCAATACCCACCGACGACGGCGAGTTCAAAGTCGAGGCTGATGCCTCGGAAGGCGCAACGGGCGCAGTATTATCACAAGAGCAGAACGGGGAGTGGAGGCCGGTCGCGTTCCAGTCGCACGCACTGAACGAGACGGAGCGGAATTACGAGATCTATGACAAAGAGATGCTCGCGATCATGTTGGCCCTAGACGAGTGGAGCGCTGTGATAAGGACCGCGACGCTACGACGTGAACGGGATGATGCTCAGGTGGTAAGCTTGTCCGGCCTCTAGGGGGTTTGGTTGTGAGGTTCCGAACAAGGGGACGTTTGTCGATGCAGAGGTAGTGCGGCGGGTCCGGTAAGTTCTGTTAAAGTTAGCAAAATGGGGGAAAGAACTGGAATATACTCGTTCGCCGGGGAACAAAGTTCGCGAACTTGTCCCTTCGAACTATCTGCGAAGCCTTCTACTTCGATCGAACGACGCGCCTTCCTCCTTTGATCGTTGGGGCACGTGATCGAGTCGGCGAATCCTTCCAAGGGGTTGGTTCGTGGACGACTTCGACGTCGACGGAATTTCGGCGACGAACTTCTCGGAGTATAAGAGGTTGTGGCCGTTCAGGCGTTGACGATTTGCCAAAATTTCCTCGAAGCTTCGTTCCCACCGCTACAGGAGGTGTTTCCGCGCGGGAAGGTGTGCGAAGTTCGAGGGCGAGCTATATGAGCGCGAGCTTAGATGACTTAAGCTGCAAGGGAGGGAGTGAGTAAAGTGTCCTGAGACAAGTAGGTGCAAGGGTGTGATCAATTTCTCGATTTGTGGGATGTAAGAACACTTGTATACAAGTGGGAGGGATCTGAACCCCCGGAAACTCGATGCCCAAGTACGCTAAATTGTCCGCTTTTTATACCGTTTCCCCCCATCAGCCTCGTGTTTGAGTGAAACACTTGCTTGTGAGAGTTTCTTCCCCAAAACGATTCTAGCATCCTTTCGCCCGCGAAATATTGTATCGTTCGCCGTCGAGAGAGTGTTGAAGACCAGATTTAGGACAATTATCCCGCGAGCTGTCGGGCTGTCGGGTTTACGTCCCAATTAAGTTCCGACCCGTACGTCCTGCCAGGTAGCATGCTCGCCCATGGTCGGCGCGCTGCTAGTTGTTTAATATTTAAAGGATACGAGGTGATAATGCTCGTTGGAGGCGATTGGCGTTTGTTGTACTGGGGAAAAGGTTTGTGAAAGGATTTGGTGGATATGGTGTTTTCGTTCGTCGGCGAGGCTCGTCCCAGAGGTCCAGATCTGTCCAGATCGGCTGTGGTGAGTAGATTTGATAGTTTAATAGTTGTATCCGTTGGAACGAAGAGCATTAAGGGTAGTGGGGTGCCGTCGTTCGCCGTCGAAGCCTTGTGAGCACCATTATTTCCTTGAATATCGATGTTCAATCGTTAGCGAGTGTCGTCCCTAAAGTGGCAACCAAATTGCCGAATAAGGGTTTATCGTTTGAAGGAAGTTCGTCGTCGTTGCCCTGAGCCGCCGTGGAACGAGAGGGCATGCGCAGAGCGCATACAGCCCTCACAGCGCATTGCTCAAAGGGACCAAGCATCAGTTTGAGATTCTTACCGACCATAAGAATCTACAATATTTCAAACTGCCGCAAAAGGTCAATCGGAGGCAGGCGCGATGGATTACGGAGTTGTCGCAGTTCGACTTCTCCTTATCGCACCGGGCGGGCGCGTTGAACAAGAAGGCGGACTTGTTATCGCGCAGAGCAGATCACGACATGGGAAAGAACGACAATGAGAACGTCGTACTTCTCAAACCGGAGTACTTCCGATCGCAGGACATAGTGATCGAAGGACCGGAGGTCGAGATCCTGGAAAAAATCAAAAACACAAAAAAAAGTAGATAAGAGCGTCAAGCTGGCGCTAGAAAAGAAGTTGCCCGGATGGGAAAAAATAGACAATGTTATATATTATAATGGACTTATCTACGTACCGCGCGACAAGGAGTTGAGAGATAAGATTATTGGACTGCACCATGACTCCCCCCTCTTGGGCCATCCCGGAGAGAACCGGACCCAGGAGATGATTGAACGTAATTATTGGTGGCCGCGAGTCGGCAATCAGGTTTCTAAATATGTGAAGGCGTGCGAGGCATGCCAGAGAACTCGGGTGCAACGGTATCAGCAGGGAAAGCTGAACCCGCACAAGGTCGCGGAAGGGCCGTGGCAAATCATATCAGAGGATCTTATCGGTCCTTTGCCGGTATCTAATGGCTTCAACGCCATACAAGTCTGGGTGGACACATACACCAAAATGATCCACTGTGAGCCGACCTCGATGGAGCTCACGAGTGAGGGGATGGCCCGCTTGACACGGGATCGGGTGATTCGGTACCACGGTGTGCCGAGGAAGATCATTTCGGATCGGGATCCGAGATATGTCTCGGGGTTCATGCGAGAGCTTAATCGGCTTCTCGGCATAGAGATGAACCCGAGCACGGCGTTCCACCCGATCACGGACGGGCAGACGGAGCGGATGAACCAGGAGATTGAGAAGTATCTCCGTGTGTTCGTAAATTATCGCCAATCGGATTGGGCGGAGTGGCTCGCATTGGCCGAGTTCACACACAACGACAAGGCTAGCTCGGCCACAACGATGAGCCCCTTTTATGTAAACACCGGTTATCACCCTTGGAAAGGGATCGAGAACGCAGTGGAGTCGCGGAATGAGGCGGCGGATGATTTTGCAAAGAAAATGAAGAAAATACGTGACGAGGCCACAGCGGCGCTCGAGAAAACCCAGAAAACAATGAAAAAACAGTATGATGCGCATAGGAGAGATGCGCCGGAGATCAAGGTCGGCAACAAGGTGTGGTTGGATGGACGAGACATCACCACTAGTCGGCCGACGAAGAAGCTGGACGATCGGCGGCTCGGGCCGTACGAAGTCCTGGAGAAGGTCGGCGCAGCGGCTTGGCGGCTCAGGCTGCCGGAGACGGACAAGTCACATCCGGTCTTCAACGAGTCGAAGCTGACGCCATACGTGGAGCCGCCGGAGCACAGGCGGGAGACGAGACCGGCACCAGAGATAGTGGCCGGGGAGCCGGAGTACAAGGTCGAGGAGATTATCGACCATCGGAAGGTGGGACGGGGTTACCAATACCTCGTCAAGTGGAAGAACTATCCGCTCGGGGAGCGGACGTGGGAGCCGAAGCGGCACTTGACGCACGCGGCCAAGATCCTGGAGAAATACCGGAAGGATCACGGGCTGGGGGAAACGTCGAAGAAAAGGGCTGTGGACGCGAGGCTGGATATCGGCAAGATGGCCGATGAGGAGAAGGCGGCTTGGGCCGCGAAGCTTAGGGCGATGGGATTAATGCCGCCCAAGGAGCAGGAAGCCGGCAGAATTGCCGAGAAGAACCGAGGACGCGCCCAGGACAGGGCGGACCGCTTCCTTGCGGAACACAGCAAGGAGGTGCTGGCCGAGACGGCTAGGAAGCTTCGTGCGGCAGGGATTATGCCGCCAAAGGAGGAAAAAGCCACGGAGGAAGTCGTCGAAGACGATACCGAGGCGGAGATGGCGGCATTTGCCGCCCGAGCACGCGCGGCGGGACCTATGCCGCAGGAAATTGCAGCGCAGGCTGCCGAGGAGGAGCCGGTGTCGGCGATGGGCGGCTTGCCCGTGTTGCCTTTAGGACACTGGGATTATTTAATACGCCGGTATAAGCCGAAGAAGGAGTCGGTGGACTACCCGAGGAGATTCCTTTTCGACCCTGAAACAGGCCGGAAAGTGGAATTATTTAAATTCCCCGTGGATGGGGATGAAGGATGGACCCGCGATACCTCTATCGAGGTTTAAATCGCCTTTATCTATCATCGTCGGGACGACGATCCTAGGAGGGGGGTATTGTCACGCTTCGACGCGTTCCAACGCCGCACGTGACCACGTGCATCCCCGACGTACCCGATGGTGTATCCTTATTTATTCCATGTGACCGCGTACCACACGTGAAGGACCCATGACGTCACAACACGACGACACAACAAGGTGATTGACGCCTAACGACGACGGGTTATTGTACACGAACAATACGGACGACGGACACGCATAATTAATGAATGATCTGTTTCAGCAGTATACACGACCTTAAGTCGTTATTGTAGTCAGTAATTATAGCGACCTCTAAACAGTATAAATACAGTAGACAGTCGCTTGTATTCTTTAGACTTTTTATTCAGTTCTTCTACCGCTCCTCTTACCCTCCACACCCCAATCCTTGGTCGCACTGCGCGCCTTGGACGGAGATCGAGCTTTAGTTGTGACATCTACACTTCCATTCCATGTCTGCAAGTTGTGTATGTTCAGTATTGTGGAATCTAGTCATGCGAGCGAGCCTGTGCAACTCGTTCTTGGCAAGTTCTTGGATGACATCACTGCCGCGGCTTTTGTCTTATGGCCAATGATTAAATGACCGTTGGTCCACCGCATCATTGATACTCCACTCCAAGTTTGGAAACAAGTGAGGGACACTGAATTTCATCTTTTCTATTGTGACCTATGGCATTCTGGCTCGCAATCTTTTTTTTTTGGCGCGGCTTTGCACAATGCACGAAAGCCGCATGAAGCCGCATGTGGGAAAGCCGCATGAAGCCGCATGTGGCCCATGCAGCTTTTGCGCATCCTGTCTAATGATGCTGAGTGGAGAAGAAGTCAAAATAAGATACTGTAAGTAAAACGGAAATACAATGCCATCAAAAACCCGCTGGATAATGACAGACAGTGAGTCTAGCATACATTATGGGTGCAAGAGCAGTGAAAAGACCTGGTGGTGAAGTGCATCACACCCACTTCTCACGCTGTCCCATGTACACCCATTGTGGGTGGGAGTCCCTGGTTCGATTCCAGGCCAGGTTCTGTGTCCGCGCAAACTCTTTTGATTTTGAATTTTGGAATTCACCCTAAAAGTCTGGCATACATTATGGGTGGAAGGGCAAGAAAGAAGGCCTGGTGGTGAAATGCATCACACCCACCTCTCTTTCGCAATACCTTGTGCAATTAAAGTTATGTGGGAGTCCCTGGTTCAATTCCAGGCCATGTCGCTCGTAAATCAATCCTTCCAACTTTTTTTTTGGATGGACAACAAATTTGAAGTACAGCATATATTCTGAGTGCAAAGGAAGGTGAGTAAGATCTGGTGGTGAAGCACACCCACCTCTCCTCTTTGAATTTGTAAATTACAAGTGATGTGGGGTCCCCGGTTCGAGCCCGGGTCGGGTCACTGGCATTCGTACACGCATCAATTTTTTGGGTGGGGCTCTGTTTTTCTTAGGTAGGTAATTAAAAAAGTCTGGCATATATTATGGGTACTAAGGTACAGAATAAGATCTGGTGGTGAAGTGCATCACACCCACACTGTTTGTGAGTCCCAGAAAGGCAGCAGTGGGAGTCCCCGGTTCGACCGGGTTGGGTCATTTTTCCAACCTTACATCTTTTTTGTGTGAGTAAAAAGTCTGGCATATATTCTGAGTGCAAAGAAAGGCAAGAAGACCTGGTGGTGAAATGAATTACGCTCACCTCTCCTTTCGTGAGAACCTGCGAGTGATGTGGGAGTCCCTGGTTTGAGTCCGGGTCAGGTCATTCGTTGATGTTGTCCCTCTTTTGCTCTGTAAACTAGAGAGTACATGTTCAATCCTGTTTAATTGCCCTCCCGGGCAGTGCCTGGATACCGCGGTACCCCTGTAAACGTCGAGCGCATTGACTTCAATTCCTCTCAAAATATGAGTCTCATATTTCAGATATGGTTGTTCATAAACCTCGTCGGCCCACGAATTCCGAGTCCTACTTCAGAAAGCACCACGAACAGCATGTCTAGAAGTCGTCAGAGGCGCCCCAGGACAAGAGGGAAGTAAAGTATAGCTTCGGATCCATCCTCCCTTGATAGAAGACCACCGACAGGTCATCCTCTCGGCGGTGGTAATCAAGGAGAGTGCACACAGGTAAAAGAGCAAATGCAATGAGAGAGAAGCCGAGAGAAGCCCTTCAACCCAGCCTAGGTAATCCCAGTGCCCAAGCCAGGGGCGAGAATAAACATTATGTACATCTCAGATGAGAAAGTGGATTTGGCAACGAAGACCATTGGGAACGATGTCTATTACAAGGAGATAATCGTAAGTTTACACTGTTCAGTCCCTACTTCCTGCCAGTGAATTGTTCAGTTGAATCATTTACAGGCAGGAGCCAGAATGTGCAGCATCCACACCTATTCCAATGCAGTTCCAATGCAGTTCATACAAAAGGTGCCCCGGTCTGAGTTTACACGAGAGTCATCATTCTATCCCGCGACTGACTAGCGCCAGCGCCAGCAGCCACTTGGACCGGAACTACGACATAGTGGAAAAGAAGAAGAGATGTCCATCAAAAGCCAAACAAACAAGTTTTTTATACTGGGTTTCACGTGTCAATTCCCAGGGGCGAGTTTGCTGGATTTACAAAATGTTTCAAGCGCAAACTCAATCCCGAAATTACAAAACTTATTTCATCCAAACACGGAGGAGGGGGGGGGAATTTCCCATATTAGGCCGACGCTGCGCCAAGCGAAGCTCAAGGATGACAAAAAAATTGATCTACTTCCTTTTTGGGTGACGAGTTCGGTAGACAGGAACCTAGATACTACGTATCCAGGCATACAACACGGGCTCGAGTGGGACACATTTTTTTCCTTTCCCTGGATTGAGAACAAATATTATTTGATTGCTGGGGTCGGTGCAATCAACTCAGATTGCATTAAACGAAAAAAGTATTGTACATAGATTCCAGATGCAAAGGTACAGAATAAGACCTGGTGGTGAAATGCATCACACCCACACTGTTTGAAAGTCCCATGAAGGTGGCAGTGGGAGTCCCCGGTTCAAGTCTGGGCCAGGTTGTATGAGACTTGTATGGCTTTTTTCGGCTTTTTGGGAGAGGCCTAACATACATAGATACCAGGTGCAAATGTACAGATTAAGACCTGGTGGTGAAGCACATGACACCCACCTCTCCTGCCTGACATACCTTTCAGGTGATGTGGGAGTCCCCGGTTCAAGCCCGGGTCAGGTCATTTGCAATTTCCGCCAGCATTTTTTGCTTTATTTATTTATTTGCAGGTTTCGCTTCACTGGGGCTATAGTGATTCAATGACGCTGAGCGGAGACGAAGTATGATAGAATGAGAATAAAATGAGAATACAATGCCATCAAAAAGCCGCTGGGTGGAGATAGACGGTGTTATGTTCTGCACCCGTTCCAATTGAATGAAGGAGTATACAGTAGTATTTTATTCTAGCAGCCGATGCAAGTCTAGGTACCTGGTGGTGAAGTGTATCACACCCACTTCTTATGTTCTGTTAGTTCATTGTGTCGGTTCGAGTCTGGGCCAGGTTCTGTGTCTGCACAAACTCTTTTGAATTTGAATTTTGGGACTCACTCTAGGAAGGCTGGCATATATCATGGGTGTGAAGGTACAGAATAAGACCTGGTGGTGAAGTGTATCACGCCCACCTCTTCTGCCTGCCATACCTTCCAGGTGATGTGGGAGTCCTTGGTTCGAGTCTGGGCCAGGTCATTTGCAATTTCCGCCAGCATTTTTTTGCTTTATTTATTTATTTGCGGGTTTCGCTTCGCTGAGGCTATGGTGATTCACCGACTCCGAGCAGAGACAATTAGTATGATAGAACAAAAATTACAATCAATGTCAAAAATAAGCCGCTGGATGGCATCAGGCGACAGACAGTGTTCTGCTCTGCACCCGTTCCAATTGAATGAAGGAGTATACAGTATTTTATTCTAGCATAAATTCCAGATGCAAGGACAGTAAAGAAGACCTGGTGGTGAAGTGCATCACACCCACACTGTTTGTGAGTCCCAGAAAGGCAGCAGTGGGAGTCCCTGGTTTGAGTCCAGGCCAGGTCGTTTGTACCAGTTCTTGGAGCTTTTTTTTAGATGGACAAAAAATCTGGCATATCTTATGGGTGTGAAGGCACAGAACAAGACCTGGTGGTGAAGTGCATCCCACCCACCTCTCCTTCACGATCCCTGGCAAGTGATGTGGGAGTCCCCGGTTCGAGCCCGGGCCAGGTTGTATAACAAGTTTCACCATGCACTTTTCTCTTGATTTTTGGAACACACTCTAAAACTCTGCAATATATTATGGGTGCAAAGGTACCAAATAAGACCTGGTGGTGAAGTGCATCACACCCACATTGCTTACAATTGAACTGGTGCAAAAGTGGCAGTGGGAGTCCCCGGTTCGATTCCAGGCCAGGTTGTCCAATATTCTATGATCTCTTTTGGTTTTGAATTTTTGAATTCACCTTAGAAGTCTAGCATATATTGTAGGTCTCAAGGTACAGAATAAGACCTGGTGGTGAAATGTATCACGCCCACTTCTTATGTTCCGATATTTCATTCTGTCAGTGGGAGTTCCCGGTTCGAGTCCGGCCAGGCCATTTTTCCAATCCTTTTTTCCTCTTCTTTTTTGGATTCACTCCGCAGGCGCTCGCTTCATTCAATGACGCTGAGTGGATCGAAGATGATTATCGAACGACAACGAAAATAAGACCCGCTGCTGAATGGCGACAGACGGCGTTATGCTCTGCACCCGCTTGACGACATAATTGACTCCGCGGAGCCAGATCTACCATATCGAATCCCGGGATCAGGATTATGATATGGAATCCGGGATCCCCCTCATGTCTAATCTTCGGAGGAATCAAACCTCTTGTCTCCTCCCACACCCTCGAAGGAAGATGCAGCCCGAGATAGAATTCGCCGAGGCGACAGCGCTGCTGCTGGCAGCGTGCTGGCAGGCAGGTGTACAGCGTGCCCCTTGATAGGGCCTTGGTGACGTGAGGCGCGGCTGCTTGGCTGGCGACTATCGGAATCGGATTTGCAATCGGGTTTGGATTTGGATGGGATCTGGATGGATGGATGGATGGATGGTTCGGCAGAGAAAAAAGGGCGGCGAGGCCGGTGGCGGCGACAGTTGACTTGTCGGACAGGGAATTTAAGTAAGTTAATTCGGGAGCGTTCTTATACCGCCCGTTTGCGTTTATCGAGACGCGCTGCACGCTATCTTCCTCGTCGCCAGCCAAGTAGCACCCGCAAGAATGGCCAGTAGTGCCCGCCCCGCGCCGCTCTCGTTCGCCCTGCTCCCCCCGCACGCGCCCTTTGCCAACAACGCGAACAACAACGGCAATAGCAGCGGCGACTCGGAGCCGCCCTCGCCCACGAACTACAGCTACCCCCACAACGCGAACACCAGCCCCGGCGCGAGCCCCCCGCCCACCCCGCGCAGCCTCTCCTTCCTCACCCCGCCCGTGCCCCCCAACGCCTCCACGGTGAACCCGTTCCTCGGCCCGCAGGTGGGCATGCAGCTCCATGGCCAGCAGCAGCAGCAGGGGAACCCGTTCTCCCCGCCCGCCTCCGTGCGCTCGTTCTCCGCCTCCGGCTCGGGCTTCTTCACCCCCGGCGACGTCACCCCCGCGGGCGCGAGCACCCCCGCCGCCGAACGCGAACGCTACGGGGGCGGAGGGGGAAGTGGGGGTGGGACAGCGTACCCGTTCCCGTCCCCGGGCAGCACGCGCGCGTCCTCGCTCGTCGACGTGCATCTCCACCGCGACGCCCCCGTCCCGCGCGCCTTCTCCACGTACTCCATCGGCGGCGGAGGGGGCACCCCGCCCGCGGAGCGCGAGCGCGGGAGCTTCAGCCGCCCCACGACGGGCTCGAGCTCGCTACGGCCGACGTCGAACGGCGCTGGCGGGGGGAGTGGCGTTAGTGGTGGAAATGGGAATGGGAATGGGGGAGGAGGTGGGAGCGCGCCCCAAACCCCCAAACGCGAGGCGTTCGCCTCCCCGCCCGCGCGCCCGCTCACGATCTACGCCGCCGCACCCCCGCCCGGCGGCAACAACGCGCGCATGCGCGCTGTGCGTGCGCGGAGCACCGCGATTTTGGTGCTCCCGTCTGCCTCTGCCTCTGCCTCTGCTTCCAATAACTCCACATCCACCGTGGATGGTGCTGCCTCTGCTTCTGGTACCTCCGGGGATGCCGCCCCCGCCCAGAAGGAGACCCCGAAAACGAATAAGAAGCCGAAAACGAAGAAGAACGCCCACGCACACGCACCGCGCCCGACGCTCAACACGACGCTCGACAAGCCGTGGCTGCGCTCGGGCGCCAAGGACCCGCATGCACGACTTGCGTATTGGATCACGTATGGGACGATTTTGATGGGTGCGTTTGGGTTTCTTCTCTTTTTTTTTGTTTTTTGCGACGCCTTTTTCGTCTTGGTTTTCAAGTTCTCCTTCTCTTGGATCTCCTCGTTCGAACGCTCGTTCTCGTTCTGTTCTTGTTTCTGTTTCTGTTTATGTTTTCTGTTCCTTCCCGGCGCCTTTTTGTCGACGCCTTTTCTCTCGCCGCGACGACGCGTGCCCCGTCCTTCCTCCCTCCCTTCCTTCCTTCCTTCCTTCCTGTGGTCTTGCGCGCCCCTTCTTCCTCCCTCTCTCTTGCCTCCCCCTCCCTCTCTCTTATCTCTCCTCTCTCATGTCTCCCCCAACGCCAAATCATGGTCTCCCCCAACGCCGAACCCCCGCTAACCCCCTCACAGGCCTCGCCGCCGGCGCAGCACGCATCTACATCGGCTGGGCCGGCGTCCTCCTGCTGCAGGGGAACTTGTGTCCGGTTATGCTCGAGGTGCGTTTTTGGTTTTTGTTCTTTCTTGTTTCTCCTCGTTCTCCTCGTCTTTCTTCTGCGTCTTTTTCGTCGCCTCCGGCTTTTTTTTTCGTCGCCTCCGGCTTCTGCTTCTTGGCGGCAGAAGAGGGCGCTGTGAAAGAGCGAAGGGCGGAAGGCGGAGGGCGCGCGCGCTCGTCATCCGCGCTTTCGATGAGTAGGAGCTCCCTCTCCCCCCGTCCTCTCTCCCTCGCTTCCTTCCTTCCTTCGTTCCCTCGCTAAAGCTTCGTTCCCTCGCTGACGCTCGCTCCCGCAGGACTTCTCCACGGCAACGACGGACAGCCTCTTCGCGGACGGGGGCCCGTTCTTCAGGGAGGTCGACGCGAGTGGGTTTGGGTGCGTTTTTCTTGTTTTTTTGCTTTCTTCCCTTTTCTTCCCGATTCCAATTCGCCCGCCTACGCGTGCCGATTCCCTCGCCTACGCGATGCTGCGCGTGCCGAATCCCTTGTTCTATTCTATTCCGCCCCTGCCTCGCTTTGCCTTCCGCGACGCATGCTCACCGCGCTCCCTCGCGTTCACGACCCCGCGCCTCGCGTTCACGACCCCTTCCCTTCCCTTCGCCCACCCCCCTCCCTGCCTCACGTTCCCGACTCCGTCGCTCTCTCCTCCCCGCCCTCCTCCCTCCTCTCTGTCCTCTCCTCCCGCTCCCTCTTCTTTTCCCTCCCCTTCCCTTCCCTTACTACCTCTTTCCTGCGCATGCCGCGCACCTCCTCCTACTACTACTCTCATTTCGCCCTCGTCTCCTCCTCGTCCTCGTCCTCGTCCTCGTCCTCGTCCTCGTCTCGTCCACCCTTCCCCTCCACTCTCCCCTTTCTCTTTTTTTCCCTCCCTCTCCCCCCCCTCCCCCCCCCCCTCTTCCCTCCGATGGCTAACACCCCCCCCCCCCCCCCCTTCTTAGCAACGGCGAATTCGAAATGACCACCGCCTCCCCGTCCAACTCGTACATCGCCAACAACCAGCTCTACCTCCTCCCGACGCTCACGAGCGACGTGATCCCGCTCGCGAGTGTGTTGGGTGCGTTTTTGTTTCGTTCTTCCTTCCTACCTTCGTTCGGCGCTTTGCGTACATGCGTCCCCCCTCCCTCCCTACATCTGTTCCTTCGTGCGGCGTTCGGCGTTTTGCGTTCGCAGCCCGCAGCCCGCACACAGCCCACATCGTCGCCGACGTCCCCGCCCGCCTCCCCTCCTCCCCTCCTCCTCTCCCCCACCTCACCTCTTACTCTGACTAACCCCCCCTTGTTCTCTCCCCACAGACGGCGCAGTCTACAACCTCACCGGCTGCACGTACAACATCACGCACTCGTCGGGGTACACCTCGTCTGCGGCGTCGTCTGACTCGGACGGCGGCGAGGGTGAGGGTGCAGGTGCAGGTGGTGGGAATGGGAGCACGAGTACTACTAGTACGGATGGGGGTGCGTTTTGCGTTTTGCGTTTCTCGTTTTTTTGGATGCGTCCTCCGCCCTCGCCCACCCACGCTGCGAACTCCGCCGCTTCCTCCCCCCTCCGTCGCCGCTCCCCTCTTCCCTCCCGCCCTCGCTCCCCCGCTTTCCTCCCGCCCTCCCTACTCCCTCCCTGCTCCCGTCCATCCCTCGCTCGCTCTCCCGCATCCTCCCTCCATCGCTCTCTCCGCCGCTTCCCTTCCCGCTCCCCGCCGCTTTCTACCCCGCCGCCGCTGCCTCCTTGCTTCCTTCCTCTCCCCTCCCCCGCGTCCTCCCCCCGCGTCCTCCTTCCTCCCCTCCCCCTCCCTCTCCCTCTTTACCCTCCATCCCGCCCACCAACGCTCCCCTCTTCCCTCCCTCCATCGCTCCCCTCTTCCCTCCCTCCATCGTTCCCCTCCTCCCTCCCTCCCCCTCTCTTCTCCAAATCCCTCCCTCCCTCGCTCCCCCTTCCCCCGCTCCCCGCTCCTCTCCCTCTCTCTCTTTATTCTCTTCTCTCTCTCTCTCTACCCTGTATCCCGCCACTAACCCACCCCACCCCCAGCCCCCGCAGCCCCCTTCGACCCCGCCGCCTACTACGCCGCCTGCTCCGCCGTCTCAAACGCGACGCAGGGCAAGATCCTCCCCCCCGTGATGAGCGCGCGCATCAGTACGCGGCGGAGCGCGAGTTTGAAGTGCGTTTTTAAAAAAAATTTCTTTTGTTTGGGAGAGAGGCGTGCCTTCCTAGCCCACTCTCCTCTACCCGATGCTCATG